GTGTCTCTATCCTTGGCAAAGGCTCTCCCTGGCTGTATTCACTTTACATACAAATAAACAAAAACCCAATATTTTATTAGAACCCAGTGGATGGAATAATGGACTTTAACTCAGCAGAGCTCACTTTGCAGCTCTGCCGTTGGTTTATTGGGCAAAGCCATTTGTATCAACACCATACAGCCTGGGATAAAGACAATTTCTTTGTAATGAAACACAGGTTTTGAAAAGGGAAAATATTATGCTGAGGGAATAATAATAAAGTCCTTCTAATGATAATAAAATTATGTGGGTTTGTATATATATGTTTATGTTGTGCATAATGGAATGAACCAGATTCTCTTCTGCCTCACGCTTCATCAGCGGTGCTTTGAGCTGGCTTCCATCTGAAAGGCTACGAGTATTAGTATACTAATTTTAGATGTGCCTTCAGATACAGGTGTCATTGTACACTGAATGTGATAGCATTTCATTGTAGCAATGCTGGGCAGCATTTCCTGCATCTTCATTTCTGTTGATAAGCCATAAAGGACTTAGTACTACGGTTCAAATAACTAACATTTAGAGTGGCGGTGGGGAGGGGTCTTTTTTGTTTGTGAACTGAGTAAAACATGTTGCACTGACTCCTGAGCTGTAAGGACTGTGTGTAATTCCCTGAAAGTAATTTGCATAAAGTAATTTGTGTTCTGCATTTGCTCTTTAAATCTTTGTATGGGTAACAAAGAAACATTCATTTTGCCTTATTTTATGCAATGTAAATAATAGATACATTCAGGACAGATCCTGAATACCTCAGCTGGTGTGCACCAGCATTGCTGTGGAGTAAGCAGGGTTGCATCAGCTGAGGATCTACCCCTCCATCAGTTCTAAGTGCCAGTCTTGCGGCACATTATACAAATGTTCACCGTAGTTTGTCAGCRGCAAAGCTGTCACCCAACAGTACACACTGCCTTCTATCAGCCATTACTTTTCTGTCATCATCATCAAGTGCAGCTTAAGAGAATCTGTGCATCGTTTCTTCCCTTCTGAACAATTTCCATAGAAATAATTGACCTGCTTTTATGGTAATTYGGTCCCTGCTATTTGTTACTGCAGCATTTCCCAAAGAAAAATGCAAAACTAATGCCCTAGAACAAAAACATTCAGCCAAATTACTTACCAGTAATCCAAGGAATCATGGATAAATCCATTGCTCAAGTGCCTTCTCATTTGGAACTTTATATAGTTTTCACCCAAGGGTTAAGATTTGGGKTTTTTTTCTGGGTGGAGGSGTTGTTTTGTATTTGAAGGGTAATACTCATGTTTTCTGCCCTACAGCAACTTTTATATAAATCTCCTCTGAAAACTGTGTCTGCCAGCACTGTCACTCCACCCCCAAATTTTTATTACTAACACCAGCTAAAAATATTTAAAGAGGCTGTTTCCACTTGTTTGGTGCATCTCATTTCATGTTCCTGCCTCTTCCTTTCTTCATTTTTCAAAAAAGTCAATGCAAAAGATCATTTAAACCTTGTGTTTTGAAGTGGCAATCAGTAAAACAGCCTCACAGCATGATTAATGTTCCTCCTGTACTCAGGAACAGTTTGCTGAAACTCAAAAGTAAGTTGAGCTCATGTGAATTTGTTCTAAAATAAATGAAGATATTCCCGTTCTGGGCTGGGACTTTGACTGAGTCACTGTGTAGGTTGCATTTTCCACTGGTTTCTACCACTGGCTGATGGTGCTCATGTCAAGCTGTTACACAGTCACAGGGAAGTAGAAGCTAGCACAGAAGTGACACTCAGAATCTGGACTTCCAACAAGTTAAACAATAAAGTGCTTAATTTCCATTTAAAAGTGAGAAATTCTGATTGAGGCACTGGATGAAAAACATGAAGTCTTAAAAAGGATAATTGCTGCTCCAAAAAAAAAAAAAGAATGTTATTTGATTCTACCCAATGAACATATTTTTCTTGATTTCTTTTACTTCCAGCAAGCTTTGCTTTCTGTGGAATTTTTGGTCTGCTATTRCTTTTTTCAGAGGAAAGGTGCAGCTAAGGAAAGACATCTTAGATGTTGCTCTGCTGGTTTAAGCAGGTCATTCCATGGAGGGCCTTTGGATTTGATAAGTGAGCACTTTCTGAATTTCTCTACTTTCATTTATGAGTTTGTTGAGCAGATGGATTGCAGTGGCTGAGAGAGCCAGGATCTCAGCAGGACTGACACAGCTCACAGGGGAAGACATCAGCTCTCTTTTGACCTCTGGAAAGTGGAAGTAGCCTGTGGAGCAATGAAGTGATGGAAGCGCATGTTGAATGTTTTCATTGCTGCCAAAAACTCAGGGAATTTCCACAGCCCCACTTTGTGTGGTGTGCTCACACTGCTTACAGAAGCAGCTTCCCTACAGTCACAGGCAGGGCTGGAGCAAATATTTTCATGGAGCTTCTGTGAAAGTGTGCAAGGATTTTATTCACCTTTCCAACCCAGCTTTTTCATTGCCAAGGTTTTTCACTCTTTCTGGTGCTCCAGGACTGCTGTGATGGGAAGAAGACTCAGTATTTTCAGTATTTTCATCTCGGAGCTGTGTGCTCTCCTTCTTCACTTGTGTATTGGGTTGGAGGAAGGATTTATGTTCCTGAAACCTTCTGCAGGTGGTCCATTGAACATGTTACTCTGGTATTGTTTATTTGGAGGCAGCTTCAAYAGGTTAATTAAGACTAAATAATCTAATAGTAAATTATTCTTATGCGGAATGAACTGTTGAGCTAAATCCAGATTTTTATTTTTATTTTTTTAAATATACATGGTTACTCATGCTCTCGGCACAGAGATTGGCAATGATCCCTGTAGGATGTAGATTTCTGACATGGRTGAGGCTGTGTGGGACACTGATGTAACTGCATGTTTGATGAAGGATGAGAACAGTATTATGAGCTAAAATAGTATTGTTTTTTTCTTTTTCTTTTTCTTTTTCTTTTTCTTTTTCTTTTTCTTTTTCTTTTTCTTTTTCTTTTTCTTTTTCTTTTTCTTTTTCTTTTTCTTTTT